AGTTTAGATAAAGCACTTGCAAAACGCCGCAGAAAGCACCGCCCTATCGGCAGATTTCAAATGATTGCATGATACCGGGAAGCTCGGTGGGTGTGCACGGGTCGCCCGCCCCGGAGCTGCGCGGCTGAGCGCGGGAGCCGGCGGCAGGCCCCCTGCAGTCGGAAGGCGACCGCGCGGGAGTCCCGGAGACGGCGGCGGCCCCGGAAGGAGCGGCGGCACCAGGGTGAGTCCAGGCATGTGTTGATCAGTTCGTGTGCCCAGATTTCTGATTTACCCGTGTCCACATTCAGGGCCTCTGTGATCCCACATTTATTTTTCTTAATCAGCATAGGTAAAGTATTTCAAGGGATTTCAGGGCTTTCTTTTCATCCATTTACTTTTGTGTAGCTCGGTCGAGTTTCATCCCACTGCTGCCTGTTACCGAACAGCATGAATGAATGATGCAATCCTGCATAGGGGAGTCTCCAATGCAGGACTGGGAAAATCTCCAAAATCTGGAGTTGCAGGTCTGACTTTGTCATCTTCTTTACCATTAGTATTAGAATTTTAAGTAAATACTTACCAGATACATAGTTGTACAGATACAGCTTCAAATTGGGAATTAAATAACCCTTTCATTCATAAACTTACCTACTCTGTCTTATTTATGTGCCTTGCACATTATGATTACTCTCTAAATATTTGACCGGTATTGGAATGAGGATCAGGGAGGGAAGAAACTAATAAATCCAAGATTTCGATATTTTATTACAACTGCCTTGTTAGGTTTTCATTATAATAACGATCATGGCCCTGTCACTGTCATGTTGGTGAAACAAAATAGTTGGGATGTTTTAAGTTTTTAAATAATTTGACATATGCCTAGTAACTTATAAAAAATGTTTTTATTGATTTCAGAGAGAGGAAGGGAGTGGGGGAGAGAGAAACATCAATGATGAGAGAGAGTCATTGATCAGCTGCCTTCTGCAACCCAGCATGTGCCCTGACAGGGAATCCAACCCTGACCTACTGGCCCATAGGCCCACTCTCAACCCCTGAGCCAGGTCAGCTGGGCCTAATAACTTTTTTAAGCTAACATTTTATTGATGTATAATGTCATGCAATAATATGCACCCATTTTAAGTGTACATTTTGATGAATTTTTGACAATTTTATACACACTTAGTTACCACCACAATAGAACACTTCCATTACCCCTGAAAGTTTTCTAGGGCCTCTTTGCACTCAGGCCCCCTCATCCCTAGCCTTACTGATGTGATTTTTGTCTTTTGTCTGTATAATGCATTTGTTTGAATTTTTAAGGTTTCATATCAATGGAATCATATTGTATGTACTCTTTTGTGTCTGTCTTCTTGTGGTCAGTATAACTTTTTAAAAAATATTTATTGATTTTATAGCGTGTATCAGTAATTCATTCCTTTTTATTGCTGAGTAGTGTTCCATTGTGGGGATATAACACAAATTGTTTATCCATTTATCTGACGGATGGGCATTATAGTTCCTATCACAAATGAAGCTGCTACGAATATATTTTCATTTCTCTTGGGTAAATCTCCAGGAGTGAGGCTGCTGAGTCTTTTGTTAATTATATATTTAACTTTGTAAGGAACTGCCAAACTGTTTTCCGAAGCGGTTGTACTATTTTACATCCCCGCCAGCAATGTATGAGTTCCAATTGTTCTGTGTCCTCGCCAATACTTGGTATTGTCACTTTTTTATTTTAGCCATTCCTCTTTTGAGTTTATTTGCATATCTTCTTTTTAGAAATGTCTATTCAAATCTTTTGCTCAGTTTTTAATGGTTGTTTGTCTTATTATTGAGTTGTAAGACTTCTTTATTCTGGATACAAGCCCCTTGTTAAATATGTATGTATTGTGAATATTTTTTCCCATCTGTGGCTTGCCTTTTTTTTCTTTCTTTCTTCCCTCCCTCCCTTCCTTCATTTCTTTTCCTCCCCCCCCCCATAATAGTATCATTTGAAGGGCAGGCATATTTAATTTTGATGAAGTCCTCGCTATCACTTTTTTCTTTTATTGTTTATGCTTTCGGGTTTTGTTTAAAAAATTTTTGCTTGCTTCAAGGTTGTTATATTAGTTATTGTTTTTATGTATACTTTTTAGTGTTAGGGTGAATTTTACTCCTATCAGAAAATGAAACAAATGCATTACATTGTGTTTTCAGAAATCTCTTGGTGTTTTATATGTATATGCTTTTCCCTTCTGCCCAGAGATGAAGTAGTTCTTGGACTATGATGCTGTCTTTCCCTTTAAGGACTTGCCTGATTTTTCTTTTTAAAATAATTTTTAAAAATTCAATTACACTTCACATACAATATTATATTTGTTTCAGGTGTACAACAAACTGACTTACAAAGTAATCACCCCAATAAGTCTAGTACCCATCTGACACCATACATAGTTATTACATAATTATTGACTATATCCCCTCTGCTGTATTTTACATTTCTGTGATCGTTTTTGTAACTGGCAATTTGTACATCTTAATCCCTTCCCTTATTTCACCCATCCTGCCAACCCCCTCTCAAATGGCAACCATCAATTTGTTCTCTGTATCTATGGGTTTATTTCTGTTTTGTTTGTTTTTTCATGTTGTTTTTAAATTCTACATATAAGTGAAATCATATGGTATTTATATTTCTCTGTCTGACTTACTTCACTTAGCATAATACCCTTTAGGTCCACCCATGGTGTTGCAAATGGTAAGATTTCTTTCTGTTTTAAAGTTGAGTAATATTCCATTGTATATGTGCACCACTTTTTTGTCCATTCATCTATTGATGGACACTTAGGTTGCTTCCATATCTTGGCTATTGTAAATAATGCTGCAGTGAACATAGGGGTGCATATGTTAGTGTTTTGGATTTTTCTGGATAAATTTATTCCCAGAAGTGGAATTGCTGGGTCAGATGGTAATTCTATTTTTAATTTTTTGAGGTAACTCCATACTGTTTTTCATAGTGGCTGCACCAATTTACAATCCCACCAACAGTGCACAAGGGTTCCCTTTGCTCCACATCTTCACCAACACTTGTTTATTGATTTATTGGTTCTGATAGGTGGGAGGTGATATCTCGTTGTGGTTTTAATTTGCATTTTCCTGATGATTAGTGATGTTGAGCATCTTTTCACATGTCTGTTGGCCATCTGTATGTCCTCTTTGGAGCAATGTCTATTCAGTTCCTCTGCCCACTTTTTGGTCAAAAATTGTTGTTATTGGTGTTAAGTTGAACGAGTTCCTTATGTATTTTGGATATTAACCCTTTATCTGATGTATCATGGACAAATATCTTCTCCCATTCAGTAGGTTGTCTTTTTGTTTTGTTGATGGTTTCCTTTGCTGTGCACAACTCTTTAGTTTGAAGTAGTCCCATTTGCTTATTTTTACTTTTGTTTCCCTTGCCCAAGGAGACGTATCCAAAAAAATGTTATAAGAGCAGATGTCAAAGAGTTTGCTGCCTATGTTTTCTTCTAGTTTTATAGTTTGGGCGTCTTACATTTAAATCTTTAATCCATTTTGAGTTTATTCTTGTATATGGTGTATGAAAGTGATCCAGCCCGTCCAGCATGACTCAGCAGTTGAGCATCGACTTATGACGCAGGAGATCAAGGTTTGATATCCTGTTTGGGCACATGCCTGGGTTTCAGGCTTGATCCCCAGTAGGGGGTGTGCAGGAGGCAGCCGATCAATGACTCCCTCATCATTGATGTTTCTAGCTCTCTCTCTCCCTCTCCCTTCTTTCTGAAATCAGTAAAGACATAAAAAAAAAAAGGTTTTTAAAAAAAGAAAGTGATCCAGTTTCATATATATTTTTTAAAAATATATCTTTATTGATTTCAGACAGAGGAAGGGAGAGAGTTGAAACATCAATGGTGAGAGTCATTGATCGGCTGCCTCCTGCACACCTTCAACTGGGGATCGAGCCTACAACCTGGGCATGTGCCCTGACCGGGAGTCGAACCAAGAGCTCCTGGATCCTAGGTTGATGCTCAGTCACTGAGCCACGCCTGGCTGGGCCAGTTTAATTCTTTTGCATATGTCTGTCCAATTTTCCCAATACCATCTATTGAAGAGGTTAACATCATCCCATTATATATTCTTGCCTCCTTTGTCATGGATTAATTGACCATAGAGACATGGATATATTTTTGAATTCTCTATTCTCTTCTGTTTTTTATAACAGTACCATGTGTCTGTTTTTATACCAGTATACCATGCTCTTTTCATTACTATTGCTTTGCAGTATAGTTCAATATCAGATGGTGTGATACCTCCAACTTTGCTCTTCTTTCTTAATATAACTTTGGCTATTTGGGGTCTTTTTGGGTACCATACAAATTTTAGTATATTTGCTATACTTCTGTAAAAAATATCTTGGTATTTTTATAGGAATTGCACTGAATCTGTAGATTCCAGCATTGCTTTGGGTTATATAGACATTTTAATGATGTTAATTTTTCCTGTCCATGAGCATGGTATATCCTTTTGTTTATTTGAATCTTTTTTTTCTTTTTCTTTGATGTCATAATTTTCCAAGTACAGGTCTTTTACTTCCTTGGTTACATTTATTCTTTTTGATGCAATTGTCAGTGGGATTTTTCTTAATTTCTTTTTCTGTTAGTTTGTTCTTGGTGTATCGAAATGCAACTGATTTCTGAATATTAATTTTGTATCCTGATACTTTACTGAATTCGTTGATCAGTTCTAATAGTTGTTTGGTGGAATCTTTAAGGCTCTCTGCATGACATCTGTAAATAATGACAGTTTTACTTCTTTCTTCTCAATATAGATTACTTTTATTTCTTTTTCTTGTCTGATTGCTGTGGCTAGGACTTTTAATACTATACTGAATAAAAGTGGTGAAAGTGGAATCCTTCTTTTGTTTCTGATCTTAAAGAAAAAGCTTTTAGCTTTTCATCATTGAGTATGATGTTAGCTGTGGGTTTGCCATACAGCCTTTATTGTGGCTGAGGTATCTTCCCTCTATTCCCACTTTGTTGAGAGTTTTTATCATAAATGGATGTTGGATTTTGTTAAATGCTTATTCTGCATCTACTGATATAATCATATGATTTTTATTATTCATTTTGTTTATATGGTGTATCATGTTAATTAATTTGTGGATATTGAATCAACCTTGCATCCCAGGAATAAATCCCACTTGATCATGGTGTATAATCTTTTTAATGTATTGCTGAATTCAGTTTGCTAATATTTTGTTGAGAATTTTTGCATTTATATTCATTAGGGATATTGGCCTCTAATTTTCTTTTTTCGTAGTGTCTTTCTCTGGTTTTGGTAGGTGGTAATACTGGCCTTGTAAAATGAGTTTGAGAGCCTTCCCTCCTGTTCAATTTTTTGGAATAGTTTGAGAAAGATAGATATTAATTCTTCTTTGAATTTTTGGTAAAATTCATCTTTGAAGCCATTTGACCCAGGGCTGGGTTGGAGGAGAGTTCACAAACAAACAATGGCACCTGCCAGCACTTCTGTCCCAGGAGACAGCTGGCCTGCCCTCTGCTCCTCCACATCTCTCCCTGAAATTAGTCAATTCAGCTCCTCCCCTTATGTCCCTGGCACTTTTTGAGTTGCTACCCCAGCATTGGAGCCCAGAGTGAGTGAGTTTGTGAGTGAGTTTGTGTGGTCCCTTTAAGATCTGCAATGCCTGAGTCCCCAGCAGCCCTTTGTATTCCTCAACCACAATTCCCAGTAGTTTTCACAGCCAAATATTATGGGGACTTTTCTTCCTGACACTGGAGCTCTGAGCTGGGGAGCCCTGAGTGGGCTTGGGAGCTCTTGCTTTTTAGGTGGGACTTTTCAGCCTTGATATCCCTTCTGATTTTTTAACCATGGGTGTGGGACCAGTTCATTTTCTGTCTACCAGTCTCAACATGGCTTCTTCTTTATAGCCTTAGTTATAGGAATTCTGTTCAGCTAGTCTTCAAGTGGTTCTCAATGATTATTTTTCTATATTTTAGTTGTAATTTTGATGTTGTTGCAGGAGGAGGTGAGCACAGCATTGACCTATTCTGCCATCTTGACCGGAAGCTATCTATTGCTGTACAACAAATTACCTTAAAACCTAGCAGCTTAAAACAACAGACATTTGCCGGGCCGGGTGTGGCTTAGCGAGCGGTTGAGTGTCGAGCTAGGATCCAGGCGATCGGGGTTCGATTCCCGGTCAGGGCACATTCCCGGGTTGCGGGCTCGATCAATGACTCTCTCATCATTGATGTTTCTCTCTCTCTCTCCCTCTCCTTTCCTTTCTCTGAAGTCAATAAAGATATATTTAAAAAACAAAACAAAACAAAAACCAGACATTTGTTTTCCCACAGTTTCTGTGGGCCAAACATCTGGGAGCAACCTATAGTGTGTAGGTTCTTGACTTCGTGCAGGAAAGATTTCACAACACAAGTCCAGGTGATTTTGAAAATACATTTATTAAAGCTGGGGACAGTGAAACAAGGAAGGGCTTAGGATAGAGAAGCAACAGGAGAGGGACTAGGTGAGGAAGTGAGCCTAGTCTGGGCTGCTTTGGCTCACTAAGAAGTCAGAGAAAAGTGGGCCTTGGATACAGGTTCAGGAGGTTAGCCCAGACGAGCTATTGCTGCCCATTGCTCCCTGGTTGCAAGTCTCATGGGGACCCTTGGAGTTTAAGAGATGCATGCCTGTGGGGAAATGTGCAGGTGTGCTCCTGGGAGGGAGAGCACACACTGGGACCTGTCCTTCATTTTGAGGGATTTTAAAAGCTGGGTGTTTAAGGGAGCTCTTGGGGAGGATCTCAATAGAATATTCATCAGCTTATTCTGATGTGCCAAAATGAGATTTATTCCCTTAACTTCATCTGTCCTTGGGTGTGGTTGGCAAATGACACTAATTGGATTTCTGCTCTCTCTCTGAGTAGAGTGATTTTAAGCTATTTACCCTCTGGTTGGGGAGAAGTGTAGACCGTTTTACTGTTAAATGTACTTGGTTACAGAAGATAGGATTTTTGCAATTTGCTAGATGAGTGTAAACTGCTTGGCAGTTTAACTATCTGCCTCAGTTTCCCTATTTGCTTGCCCTGGGCTTACTAGCCTGTCTCAAGAAGATGGATACATTGAACCTTTTTGAGTTTCGTAAGGACCATATTTGAGTTATTTCCATTCTGGCTCCCTTCCTTTTTCTTTTTAAAAATTTTAAAAATGTTTTTCTCTTAATTAATTAAAACATGTCTATTGATTTCAGAGAGAGAAAGGGAGAGAGGGAGAGAGAGAAACATCAATGATGAGAGAGTCATTGATCGGCTGCCTCCTGCACGCCCCCTGCTGGGGATCGAGCCCACAACCCGGGCATGTGCGCTGACCGGGAATCGAACCGCCATCTCCTGGATCCTATGTCGATGCTCAACCTCTGAGCCACGCCCGGCCGGGCTCCCTTCATTTTCAGTCTCACCTTTGCTTTTCCTTACCTTGTGTTCTTAACCATTTCTTTTTATCCTTTGTTTTCTTCAAAAATTTTGCACCTTTATCCACGTCTATTTATAGTTTTAATTATGAGGACTGTAATTCAATCATTGGCTTGGTGCCCTTGTCTTTTGGCAGCAGGACTCTTCTCGGACTGTTCTTGAAAGCCGTGGACTTTGTCCCCTCCTTCTGATGGCAGGGCCGCGGGCTTCTCTCTGTTTGCATTTTGTTCCCTCAGTAGATCTTCTTTGCCTCTTCCTTCCATTGTACCCTGCTAATCAGGGGTAGGTAATTTCCTGTCAGACCTGAAGCTTTTGCAGAGTCAAAGCCACAGAAAAGAATGTTTCATTCCTCTCTAGTGCTGGAAGGAGGCAGAAGTCAAGTGTGTCCCGAAGGAAGCTGTCTTGGGAAACTGCATCCGACTCTTTCTACCAGCCTTGGTAGGAGGGAGGGGGAAGCCAGACAGTCTCCCTTTCTAATCAAGTGTCTGGACCTCGATGTCCATTCCCTTGTACTTTGTTTCTAGGCGCTTCTTGCTCTTGCAGAACTCACAGGACCTCTGGTAAAGAAATTTGTAGTCAGGACCTTATGCTGCATTTTTATTGAGGAGAGAAGCAGGAAGAGGAGTGTCTCCTAGGAACCCAGCACTGGAGGAACGTGAGTCAGGTTTGTCTTTTGCCCTGGTCCCTGTATGTTTGTCTACCAGTTAGCGGCCTGCTCCTCACAGTTGTAAATTGTAAAAATTGTCTGCTGGAACCTACATGGTATGCATAAATTCTCAGGTTCCCCAAAGAATAGCTGTTATTTATTACTCTAAAATGTACTATACGTTGGAACCCTAGGCCCAGTTACAGGGAATAATTTTGATTCTCCTTTGATCCAGAAGCTTCTCAGACTCCATTGTTCATTGTTTCAACTGTCTAGAGGGCCTGAAACAGACTCGCCCCTCCTGCCATATTGGCTATATTCCAATAAAACTTTAGTTATGGACCCTGAATTTTGAATTTCATGTAACTTTCATGTGTCTGTAAAAAGATATGTATATCTATCTATCTATCTATCTATCCATCCACCCATCCATCCATCCAGGATCACTTTAAAATGGAGTTGGAACTGTCATCCCAGAGGGACTGCCTTGCACATCTTATGTCTCAAGCCTTTGTAATGTTAAAACTGGGCAAAATAACCTTTGGACTGGGCCTAAAGCAGCATTGTATCCCAAACAACTATTTGTAAAGATAACAAGAAATCAGATATGTTACTACAGGGACTGACCGAATTGAAAATTAAAAAATATTCTTTAGAATTAGTGCCAATATGTTAGCTTATCTGCACCTATAGAAATTCCTTCCTTCTATTAATGTAATCGTTCCCCTCCCCTTTCTCACAAATACTCCTTGACTTCTAATCAGAACATTAAGGTTTCTTTCTTCATCAGTGCTTCTCAAATAGCTATTGTTTTGGGTCTCGAATGCTTGTTGCCTCGAACTTTGGCCTCTTATCTTTAGGTGACATGTCATGAAACATTATTCTTCTGTCGATTGTTTTCAACTATTTAATATGTGAAAACCATTCCTCATAGGCCATATAAACACAGGTGGCCAGCTAGATTTGGCCTGCTGGCTGTAGTTTGCCAACCCCTGGCTTAAAAGCCTTTTTTTTTTTCCACGCCAACTTTGAACTGGATCATTCTGCCAAGTCCATTGGTTAGAAATCAGTTACGAAGTGAGTTGGCCAGCTCCAACTCGAAGTGAGTTTGTTTTCAGCCAATGTCTATTCTAAATATAGGTTATTTACATCATTCATGTGGCCTTGTTCATAACTCTTTGTGGGGAGCCTAGTCTATGTAGCCTCTAGGATCCTGTTCATGACCATGATTCTAGTCCAATGATTTCCTTTTTTTTTTTTTTTAAATATATCTTTTATTGATTTCAGAGAGAGGAAAGGAGAGAGAGAGAGAGAAACATCAATGATGAGAGAGTCACTGATCAGCTGCCTCCTGCATGCCCCCTACCAGGGATCGAGCCCACAACCCGGCCATGTGCCCTGACTAGGAATCAAACCCTGACTGACTGGATCCTAGGTCGACACCCAACCGCTGGCCACACCCAGCTGGGCCCAATGATTTTCTTAAAAAGTGAAAAACCTCCAAATTCTTTTTTGAAACTGTCCTCCATTGCTTCTGCAGTGCTGTGGTCTCCCAGAGTTTCTTCCTGTGACCTCCCCTTTTCATTTTATTTCCCGGGCTCATGACTTCAAGGTTCCATTCCCGTGGGCTCTGTCCTCAGCCCTCTTCCTTTTTTCCCCCATTCCGTTCTGGTGACTGTGATCAGGCCACACCTTCAGTTACCACCTCCACACTGCCACTAACGCATGTGTATGTTTAGCTCTGACCTCTCTTCTGAGGCTTACAGCCTTTCAGGGTTTCCCATTACCTAAAGTTAAAATCCAAACTCCTTGGCCTGGCCCAAGGCCCCTCTTGGTCTGAATTCCTTGTGCACTGCCCAGCAGCTGGACTGAGGCTTTTGGCAGTTTCCAGCACGTTATTCGTTATTCCACCTCCATACCTTTGGCCAGGCCTTTTCCCCACTCCACCATCACTACCCTCTCTCCTTGCCTCCGTCTCCCTCCTTCCTACTCCCAACACACACCAAATTGATGCCCTGCCCTTTGGGAACCCACTCAGAGAGCCACTTGCCCTTCAAGATTCAGCTCATATATGCCTGTGCCTCCTGGAAGCCATTTCATAGACAAGATTAAACATTTTCTTCATGTGCCCCTCTTATCTTATGTACATTTCTATTTTAGTATTTGCCTTATTGCTGCTATTATTAGGTCAGAAACAACTGCATATTGGTTGAACATCAAATATATTTACAAGTTGTTACCTTTACTAGACTGAGTTGCTGGGAACAGGCTTTAGGGTCTGTTCATCTTTGTAACCCCAGCGCCTGACATTTAGAAGGTGCTTAATTTGTGTTAAAAATGAATTGAGTCCATGTGTACATGCTTTTGATACAAATCAAAGTACTTTGGCATTAGCAGGCAAAATTAACCATTGTATGCTAACATTTTATGTCTTTAAACATATTTATCTTTTTTTGTTGTAGGAGGAAACTTCTTCTAAGGATGGTCTCCCACTCCGAGTTGAGGAAACTGTTCTGCTCGGCTGATGCAGTGTGCTTCGATGTTGACAGCACAGTGATCAGAGAAGAAGGAATTGATGAGTTGGCCAAAATCTGTGGAGTTGAGGACGCAGTGTCAGAAATGTAGGAACAGTATTGATTCACTGTATAGAATGATAGAGAAGTGCAAAGGAGATGAACTTTTGGATGACATGCAGGATCAGAGCCAGAATTCTCTGATTTTAGTCCCTGGTTATGAAACATGGGCACAAGGTTTTTTCCTTCCATCACTTAGAGCTGAATTGGATAGTGTTCCTTATCTAATCATCTACTTATACAAACACTTCGGGCAAAAAAAAGTTGCATCTGACAAACAAATATGGATAAGACACTCTCTTCCCTTGGTCAGGGGAACAGTGACCTTCACTAACCAAAGACGACGTGGGAGGGTTTTCGTGCTTCGTGTCATGGTAGAAAGCGTGGCCTTAGTGGTTTGCTGGAAAGCTAGTTTTGGTTCAGAGTCTCTCAGTGGATGGCTGGACGAGAGCCCCTCCCACCCTCCTGCCCTCCTTAGTGCTGTCTGCAGTCGCCAGGTCATGGGTGATTTCATGTTCAGCTGTGTCTGACACAAGACATGGCCCTAAAATATTAATGCGATTCCAAGCAAACCTTCAACAGTTTGTTCTCAGGCCTCACAGTCATAGCATCATAGCTTGTCTGTTACGCAGTGGGGTCGAGGCAGCACCTTCCTCGTGGGTGGATGCTGTGGGAGCTGGGGAGAGTTGAGCGTGTGAACTTGGAGAACAGCTGCCCTGGCTGGCCTGACTGTGGGGTCTTCCTCCTAGGACAAAGCGAGCCATGGGCGGCGCGGTGCCTTTCAGAGCTGCCCTCACAGAGCGCTTAGCACTGATCCAGCCCTCCAGGGAGCAGGTGCAGAGGCTCATAACGGAGCACCCCCCGCACCTGACCCCTGGCATAAGGTAAGAGGAACCCTGGTCTGGGTATATTGTCTCTCAGCACCTGCATTTTGGGGTGCGTCCTCCTGAGGACATCTCACCATTACCATATTTATTCTTTTAATGAGGACAATATAATAAGTTTAATTAAAAAATATATTTTTTTTACTGTTGACACTATTATAGATGCCCCGCGCTTGCCCCCCCTTTGCCCAGTTCCACCGAGCCCCTGCACTCCCTCCCTCTGGCCATCACCACAGTGTTGTCTGTGTCCATGGGCTGTGCATATCTGTTCTTTGGCTAATCCCGTCACCTTCTTTCCAGTCCCCTCCCCCCCATTACTTTAGAGCTCCCTTCTTTGTGGTTCTTTTGGCACTTATGTCAGTGATCCTGCCCATGTCTGTCCTCCTCTCTCCCCAGGGAGAACATAAGCCTCCTCTTCATCTTGTTTTTAGGTCTAAGGGCAGATTAGAGTTGCCAGAATGGTTTCCTGAAACAATCAAGGCTCACCCTTTAATTTATAAGTGCATCTGGAAAAACATGTAAAACATTAATTCACCGGGTAATATACTTTGTCTGATGTACCTTGGGCAAATGCATTCAGGAGAAAAAAAAATACTTTAGTTCCCTTTTTATGCTTTCTCTTTTGTATTAATCAGTGTTTGGTATTTTATATTTCTTTTTTGCAGGGAGCTAGTAAGTCGCCTACAAGAGCGAAATGTTCAGGTTTTCCTAATATCCGGCGGCTTTAGGAGCATTGTCGAACACGTTGCTTCAAAGCTTAATATCCCATCAACCAATGTATTTGCCAATAGGCTGAAATTCTACTTTAATGGTAAGACTTGAATGGTAACATTTCCCCTTTCTTATCAGTTTTAGTTTTCAATATCCTAGTAATGTCTCTTGGAATGCAACCTGAGCCAGGAGGCATCAGGGTTAAATACTGAGGTAAAGAATTCTCTTGACTGATGTCTTTTGCACCTTGGAGTCCTTGGCTCAGCAAAATATACTTAGATTGTCATCTCTCCTAGATTCAGTATTCATACAGCTATCTATCAGTATGCAATGCCTGCACTTAATAAAATGTTAATTTCTGTGTGACTCACATGACTTATTTTGTCATGCATTATATTTCAGTTTTATGGGTGCTCTCATGTGTTTGAACCGATTTAGACTCAGGAAGGAGAGTTCATTTGTAGCAAGTCACTGCCCTGTAGCTGCCTCTGGAGGTGACTCTGGCCCCTTTAAGGACCATCACGGAGCCACAGCTGTAGTTTTCTAGTATCTTAAGATGTGTCCAGTTATGTCAAAGGGTGGCTGACAGTCTTAAAACCAAACAATATTAACAATTTAAAATATGTTAATAGAACATTTTCAAACCATCTATAGATAGAGATCATTAAAAAAAGAAGTATAGAATGCATAAGAATGGAAATAATTGATCAAATATAAGTCGGAATCTCCTCTTAGATGAAATTATGTATTAACTTATTTTAACTTTAATATATTACTATTTCATGCTGATCTGCTACCTTAACAAGTTTTGAGAATGACTACACTGGAAGCTTAAAGGAGTAACCTTGTGTTTGTAATTTAAAAGCAAAGCTTGTTTATTCTGAGGAACCAGCATGGAAGTCCAGGCTGTGTCACTTTCCTGAGGACCATTCTTACCTTCCTCAGTGACACTGAAGTGAGGATTATCAACTATGCAGAAAGCTGACCCTACTGATAGAATTCTGCGTGTCTTTAACACTATTTTAACTTCTCTTTTAAGGTGAATATGCAGGTTTTGATGAGATGCAGCCAACAGCTGAATCTGGTGGGAAAGGAAAAGTTATTAAACTTTTAAAGGAAAAATTTCACTTTAAGAAAATAGTCATGATTGGAGATGGGGCCACAGACATGGAAGCCTGTCCTCCTGCTGTACGTATGGAGTGTACTAATCTTTTCCTGGTTGTACTTCTGTTTTAGCTGATTTAGAATTCAGTGGGATTTATGAGAGTTAAGCAAAATAATCTAAATATCATTATAAAATAAAAAACAATAAATAGCCCTGGCTGGTGTGGCTCAATGGATAGTGTTGGCCTGCACACCGAAGGGTCTCGGGTTTGATTCCCAGTCAAGTGCACGTGCCTGGGTTGCAGGTTCAGTCCCTGGCCCCGGTCAGGGCATGTGAGGGAAGCAACCAATCTATGTGTCTCTCTCACATTGATGTTTCTCTCTTTCTCTTCTCTCTCTCTCTCTCTTTCTCTTTCCCTCCTTCCCTTCCACTCTCTGTGAAAAAAAAAAAAAATCAATGGAAAAAATGTACTCAGGTGAGGTATTAACCAAAAAAATAAAATAAAACAGATTTAATATCGATATGTCAACTGACCTTTTGAAAACCCAAGAAAGGTTGCAAATAAGGAACTAAAATTTTTTTTTTTAATCCTCACTTGAGGATATTTTTTCCATTGCTTTTCAGAAAGAGTGGTAGCGAGAGAGACAGGGAGGGAGGGAGGGAGAGAGACACACCGATTAGTTGCTTCCTGCACGCGCCCCAGCCAAGGCTGGGTATTGAGCCTGCTGACTGAGGTACGTGCCCTTGGCTGGAGTCGAACCCAGGGCCCTTCAGTCCTCAGGTGGAAGCTCTAACCACTGAGCCAAACCAGTTAGGACTGATGTGAAGTTTTAACTCCTTTTTACTGATTGGGGAGCTGAGGTTCATGGAGGTTTGATAACATGCCTATGTTAAAGCATTCTATTCTTCTGAATTAATTTTGTTTTCTGGGAATAGCAGGACACAAATGCTATATAGCAAGTGTCCTAATGTGTCCGTCTCACTAGGACTTTGCCTTGATCAACTCGTTCTAACAAGAAAAACTGAAGCAGAAATAGAGCGAACTTTTTTACTCCCTAACGTCCTGAGATCTCAGAATAGTAACTGCTTTTGTAAATGATTAATCTAAAGTGGTCAGAGATCTTTTTGCAACCTTTTAACGTTGCTCAAGTTTGTTCAAGATAACACACGCTTAGAAGCTTTA